ATAGAAATTAAGTTGCTTTGTATCAACACAATCGAAATTAAGATAATTTTGATTAAAATGAAGAATAAATTTTTGACTACTTCATTGCCAGATTTTAATACCTTTTTTCGATATTTTTTTCGATATCTGTTTTTCTTTTAGAAATTTTGATTATTTTTAATTTTATTTATTTATTAGAAATTTCACTTATTTATTTTTATAAAGATAATTTTCGTGTCAGGTAGAGGGTAACGTCACGATTTAGGAAGCGTCTGATACAAAAAATATATAATCTTCTGTTTTGTGTTCAAACGATTTTGTAATGTGGTTTTAAAAAAGAAAAGTACGAAATATGATGAATTATATACAAATAAATAAATAATGAAATTAAGTTTTTTAAAGAAAAACTTTATTTGTGTTATTTCTAGAAATTTTAAAATTAAAATCTTTTTTAAAGATTTTGTTAGAAAATTATGTTTTCTAAGAATTTAGTATCTATATTTTAAAAAAAAAAGGAAATAGAAGAGGCAAACGATAGTTAAATACTTCCAGAAAACGATTTGTTAAAAATGTTATTTAGTCTTCTGCGATTCTAATGCGCCATTTTATTTATTTATTTTGATGGAAGTAAAACTGCATAGAATTTGGAGTTCCTTCAAATAAGTGAAGCGTATTGCCATTATTTAAAAACGCAAAGCGAAGACTTTTCAGTGAAAGGAAAGTTAAAGCTCCATGAAATGAGATTGTTCTTGCATTTTAAAATTAGAACCAGTATACATACAATTACCACTGATCAAAAGAAGCGTCTATGATTCATAAACAACAACTCTGTGAGAAAATTTTCTAACAATCTATCATTATCTGTTATTTCTTTTCATCATAGCAGACGGCAAAACTAAATGAGAAAAAAAGTTCTGTTTTGTGAGAATGTGAGATGGGTTGTAGCTCTAGTTTTTTTAGCAAAATATTTCAGGCTGAAGTTTCTTCAAGAAAAGAAAAAAGAAGATATAAACGGGGGAAAAAAATCATTCTTGGTGGTCAAAAATTTTGATTAGCATTGTCATTTACTTATTTTAAATTTTTTTTAAAAGGTGTATAAGCCATTATTTTAGTTGATAGTTTCCCTTTTATGTTATTGTTTGTGTTCATTGAATAAAGAATCATTTTTTTAACATGCTTTGAAACTTACGAAACAGAAATATAATCGGTAAAATAATGTTACAAAATACAAAATTTTCTAACTGATGTAATGCTCAAACTTTTTTAACCTATTTAGTTGAAAATTTATATTGTGATATTGAAAAAGTGAATTTTAAGTTGGATAATGTATTTTCATTTTATTCTTATCATTTTATTACAAACAAATTTATTTAAATTTCCCTATTAAAATATCAATAGCAAAATACCATTAATTCATTAATTTACCAAAACAAGATTTTCATGCGATTGAAAAAAATACTGTAAATGCAAAACACCTTGAACTCATCTTAAAACCATTTAAAACAAAGCTATTTTGAATTCATTTTTTTTAAAATTATATTTTATCAATTTTTCTCTTTGTAGTTGTCTTTTACGTAAATAGCTTAAGAAAAAATAAATTTAAATTCATTTAGCTGGCAGTCGTTTAGCTTTTAATGTAATATCTGATATTTTGAGTAGCGTATTCTTTTAGAAAAACTGTTCATTTTTCTTCATGAAAATCAAGAAAACTCTTTCGGTGGTCCGATATAAATAAAAACATGGTTGACAAAGCAACCATGTTTGCTATCGATTTCTTTTTTTCATTATAATACTTTATTATTTAGAATTCTTTGGTGGAAATGAGATAGAATATTAAATTTTAAATAGAAATATTAAATGTATATTTTTTCTAATCTTAAGGCATACAGGTTTTTACATTAATTTTATTAATATAATTTTAAATAGGAAAATTAAAATTTAAGCGAAATCAACTGAACAGCTCTCAGGTTTAAATTGCGTCTTAAGCTCAGAAACTATTCGATAGATTTTCTTCTCAATCTCAACTTTAATAAACATTCAAAATTATGTGAAAATTAGTACGCCCAGCTTCAATCATTGTAGAGTTGAATAATAAGTAGTTATTTTTATTATTAGTTTGAATCACCGAAATACTTCCAGAAACATGATAAAATACTGAAGGGCAGTATATTAGATTTAGAGAAAGAGGAGTACTGGTATACACTGTAAAAAATTCCGGATCAAATTACAGTAAAAAGTACTGGCACTCTAAGTGGAGTATCTGTAAAATCTCTTTTACCGTAAAATCCACTTTTACAGTAAAATTTTATTCTGTAGTTTTTATAATAGTATTTATTTAGTTGCAGTGAGTTGCGGTATATATATCAGATTTTTTTTTTTGTTCCGCTAAATTTTAAGGTAAAAATGGATTTTACGGCAAAAAATACAGGCATCCTAAATTCCAGTACTTTTTGCCTTAAATTGATACAAAATTTTTTACACTCTCCGTGACCGCCTGGTAATCAGATTGTTTTTTTATTTACCTTTGACAAAATTTGAGACACAATTTTAAAATATTGCTAATCAAAAGTACCTTTAGTCGCTTCCGTTTATTTTATTATTAAAATTATTACATATTATTATTTCCTTTATTCACATAAAGCACAAAATAAAATGAAAAAAGTTTTAGGCATTGCTGTTGTTAAAGAGTCATATTTAAAGAATGTAAAAATGAAAAAAGTTTAAAAGAACAAGTAGTAAACAATGGCTGTATCATTGTTGGTATTTTAATTGTTACTATTTTAATTGACTTAAATTTCTATTGTTATTTGATACATTCAAAATTTTTGGAGTATTTGAGTCAGGTCAAGTTATCTAAATGTTTTCAGATTTCACTTTCAAAATTTTAACATGGTTCAGATGTATGGTTTTAGAAAGATTTGTAAGTCAATTTATCAAAATTTTTATTAAATTAGAATTTAAGAATGGATTATCTTTTTAAATTCATGCATATAAAAGACCTTTACGAGGTTTCTAGCCTCTTATAACCTTTAAGAGGTTTCTACCCTCGCCATCCTGAACTTTAGGTTGCATTTTTAATTTGTGTTTTCTTGATATTTTTTTTCACGTAATAAACTTTTGATGGTATAGTATTATTAGACAGCACAATACCTTTCGAAAAGAGTATAAAATAGAGAGTACCTTTTTTAGATTAGGAGAAATGGGGCTTGATAATTTCTAGAATTTCTATGAAGTTTTCTTCCTAACTTTACGACAATTAAATGATGCGATTTATAGTTTTTTAGTTAGTCATTTGTCCGGGATGACTTGGTTGGCAGAGCGCTGGACTAACGTTCATGAGAACGGGAGTTCAAATCCAGCCTGCCAAAGACTCTCCGTGTAGTAAATGGTGTTGGTGCACGATAAATCAGTCGGGTCATAAAATCCTCCATGTTCCCATAACAAATTATACCTCTGGGGATGCTGAATTAGAGATTGATCGTCACCTTGTCCAGGTCAAAATTACATAAATCTGTGGATGAATGAATGGATGTATGAATGGGTCCGCTCTAAAAGCGTATGCGATGTGTGAGTGTAGCAGAAGTCGAATTCTTGGCAATAGATGGCGCCACTGGAGAGCAAGAACAATCGCACCTATTACCTAATGGCCCACGAAAACAACAGCAACAGTAAGCCATTTGAAACTACACGTTTCGTTTCTCAGTTTTTATATTTTTAGAAAAAAAAATCTAATCTTATTACAGTTTAATTTGATGAAAACCGATTTGGATGACGTTAAAAAATTCTTTTAATGTTAATTGCATAAAAGCAAAGATACTTATCAAAAATAAAAAAACAGGCAACTGTATGCTATTTAAGTACCGATCAAAAACTGTTGATTGCAGAATTGTATTGGCATAATTTTGCCTGAAAAAATTTATAATGAATCCAAAATACCGCATACTTAATACCTCGAATTGTTTTTACATGCATCGAAACATGTATTAACATGCATCCTTTTTTCTACATGTACAAAAAGATACTGCCAAATAGAGTAAGGATTCATCATTATTTGTGAAAATTTAATTATGAGGATTAAAAGTATATTTAGAGCTTTCCGTTCTCGTCTCCACCCTTTCGATAATCGAGTTCGGTCTTAAGAGCAACTTAAAATAAATTGCTCAAAAAAGGTAAGAGAAAACTATTTTTTAAATAATTTTTATACTTTGAACTATCTAGTCAGGGAAAGATTATAATTAAAAGATGAAAATAAAGTGTTGGTTTTTTATAAGTAGTTTTCCCTTTGAAGGGGTTCAGGTGGTACAAAAAGCTTAAAAAAATATTAATATTAAAAGTTTTTATTGTAAGAAGTTGATATATTATTATAAAAAAAATTTTTACTGTTATTTAAAAATAAAATGCTGCCCAGATTTTTTTTTTTTTAAATTTTGAAAAAAATAATATTTATCTAAATTTTTTACAACACAAGAAAAACCATGCTTTCATTTCCTTTCTCATATTAAACTTCAAGTTATGATTAAACTTGGAAGAATTTTTCTTTTCTCCATAATAATTATTTCACGTTTTTTCGAACTTTGAAATTCTATTCCTCAAAACTTTTTAAAGATCGCAGCATAAAATCCAAAAATACATATATATTTTAGCTATTTTACTACGTAATATGTTGGATAAATTCGTAGAACTTTTCAATAATTTAATTATAATTTCTTTAATAATAATGAAACGGTATAATGTGTAATTTTTATTTGAGAAAATTTTTAAGTTTTTCAAACATTAATAGTAAAATAATTTTTAAGCCAAACTGATATGTAAACAGTTTTGTACAAAATAAAATGTAAAAAAATTAAATTGAATACTAATATTATAAGTAATATGAAAAAATAGATAAATACATTTTCGAAAGCTTGTTTTATACTGAAGATTTATGAGCTTTTTTCGTATACTTTTTGCATAATACAGAAGCAAAAAGAGCTCAAAAGAATACATACATTTTAAAAACTTTTTTAAGAACTTTTTTAACTTCTTTTTTAAGTTGTAACTCTTAGTTCAATTGCAATGTTATTTTTTTCAGTCATTTCACTAATTCTTGGCAGCTATTTTTTGATAAAGACTTATGAATCCATAAATCAACATTGGTTTGGTAATGGTAAGCATACTCAATTAATTATACTCCTTTATTTAATTTTAACATTTAACATCTTCCTAATTCACGAACCCTTTTTCAAAAATAATGAAGTGTATAATTAAGCATAGCAATCTTAAAAATCAATATTATTTGTAATAATATATTGTTTAAAATTAGCTGTGCACCATTGAGATTTTTTTTTATTTGTTAATTTATTTACTTATTTTACATGACGCCATGTAGTAAAGTTTTAAGCACACATGTGGTTTATCTTAGGAAAGAGTAATTTAAAAAAAAGTAGGTGATCGCCGAAGACATTTTTGCTAACATACGGACTGATAATTAATTTAATAGCCTTCAAACTAAATTTTAATTGTTGAAGTCACGATTTTAGTCGCTTTAAACTCGATTGATATCGTAATTGTAAGTCCTTAAGGTACATAAAGAAAATCATTTTGACAAAATTACCGTACTGTATGGCAATATTATTTCAGGCAAAAAAAAAGGGAAAATAAAACATAATTATTGTAACAATAACCAAAATAGATAGAATTTAAACCATTCATTAGGCAATTCTTCCGTTTCTATAGTATTAGTTTACGGAAAATTCTGGTTTTCAAAATTATAAGTTCGTATAACCAAACATTTAGTAAGAAATGCAAATTAAAAAATAAATTGAACCAAATAAATTGTTTTTATGTCATATTCCTAGGTATCATGATAAAATTACCAAATTTTTGCCACATTTATTAAATTTTACCACATATATATTAAAACCATATTTAATTGTTTTTACCAAAGTCATTACTTGAGGGAATCGTTAATAGAGCCTTCAGCCAGAAAGATGGTAAATTTTTCCATATTATGGTAGTTTTGACTACACTTTTGTTCTCAATGTATGGTTACTAGTCTATAGTAGGGCAGCATTCGAATTATTAAAGAGATCTCGAGATTCACAATTTCTCATGAGGATTCGTAGTACCAGACTGTAGATTAAATAGGTCTTAAAAACTGCGCTTTTCTTATTTTTCGAATAATAAAATTTATAGGGCATATAAAAAAATAAAAGAGTTGAAAACGAGACACAATCACGATTATCATGAACAGGAGCTAATTATGATCATTAAAATAAAGTTTCAGATATTGATAGAATTTTTGTCACTTTATTCGTAATTCTATATTATTATAATTTCTGAAGGTTTTAGCCTCACAGTATGAATTTCTAAAATAATAAACAATTTCCTTTTGATTTTTAAATTAGCAATTAGGAATAATAAATATAATTTAGCCCCATAAATAACTTTTCTTCCAACAGCATGAGGGGGGTAAATTGGTTAGAATTGCTCCTCGACCACCTTTACTTCCCAGACAACTTGGTACCCATCGATCTGAAGCTTCAAGCCACAGCCGGGAATCGAATCCTAGTGTTCAGTAAAATTTTAAAACAATGAAGTAATGGAGCTTTAACCTCCATAACCACCTAGACTGAACAAAGGAACATTGAAATTTTGTATTTTTTTTTTTTACTTCAAATTTACAGCTAATCAGCCAATAGTTGATAAAAATCTAAAATTTCTTGGGGGTGGTTTTCACCTCTATCCTTACACACACCGCTGAGATACTATCTATATAGATTTATTACTATTATTGTTGTTATTATTGTTGTTGTTATTATTATTTTGTTTATGTGTTTCTTTTTGATTGAAACCGTCGTGTTCCAATAATGGTAAAAAATTTTAAACATAAACGGTGCCAGGGTCATATTGTCATACCAATTACTGGTGATAGAGCTTGCCCTTTTACGAGAAATAGTATATATCTGAGCCACGGTGGCTCAGGGGATAGAGCTCTCGCCTCCTAGGTTCGAATCCCAGCTTTCACTAGTTGATACGAACTCCACAAACGGCTCGCACCAACCACATTGCTGGCGTAATAGACGGATGATGGGTTAGAGTGCCCTTGCCGTTAGGATAATCGTAGGAGGTTTTCGTGTTTTTCCTCTCCATATGGCGTCAATGCTGGCCAGTTTTACCAAAAAATATACCACAAAGGCTAGTTTGTCCCAATATTTGATTTAGGAGCTCCCTCGTCTTCTGGGTTGAATTCAAAATTACAAGGCTACGGTGTTGAACATTGGTAGGTTGGTAATCTGTTCAACAACGATTATGAAATAAAATAAAATAAAATAATGAAGTTTAGTGATTTTGTTTTCATTTCTTACAGATAATTCGGTTGAAGATGATATTCTGAAAAACATCTACCAGAAAGTTGCGTTTGTACCTGGAATTCGTCTTATAACCTCAGAAGATTATGAATTTCCCATAAGTGAAGTTGGACTTTGGGATACCATCGCAGGAAGCTTACTTTACTCTATTGCTTTTGTTTTCCTTCTTTGGTGTGAGTAATTATTATTTATAGCGTTCACTTTCTTTTCTTTTTTTTTAATTCTTAATTAATATCAATGCATGAACATCAAGGGACTGTCCATGAAGGATATACTATTTTTTAATTATTTTGATCTCTTTTTTGTCTCAAAGTGTCACCATTCTCTGTATCCACCTCCTCTTGTCACATATCATGCAATATTACATAAAATTGCATAATACTTTTAGTCAGAAACAAATTATTGGATTATAAATTATATTTCAGATTTTAATTTTACTTTAACTATATTTTTGAAAGACATTTGTGAGAGTAAAAATAACAATGATTATGTGTGTACTTATTTTGTTGGAAATAAGATAAAGATTTACAAAAAGAAATATAATAATAATATACATTAGTAATAATAAAATATTAAAATATGTGAAAGCAGTTGTATTTTGAAACTTCCAATGGGTATTATTTTCCTTTTCTCTTTTAAGATAGTTTGAATTCAATGAAAATGACCCGTACTATTTTTGCCAGTGCATATTCCCAATAAGGTTCATAACAGTAATATCAAACTCATTATACGTGGTAATTAAAATTCAAACTTTGCGTGGTAATATCAAACTCATTACTTGTCCCTGGGAAAAAAAACTATTTTCTTATTGCTTTCCATTAATTTATCGCATTTAAAAAAATAAATAAAATCGCATTTAAAATCGCATTTAAAAAAATAAATTATCGCATTTAAAAAAATAAAATGCGATAAATTCCATTAATTTATCGCATTTAAAAAAAATAAGTATGTAAGTAAAAACACTGTAAAATAATTTGTAAAATAATAATTACATTTTTCACTTCTTCCTAATCATATTTTCGAGCAGTTTTATGGTTTGTAAACTTTTATCGTTTTTTATACCGGGCTTTTAAGCAACTGATCCTTTTTCGAGTTTAGGACAATCACTGTCTAACTCTGTAACTTAGTAATTCTGATCCTGACCCAATAGACAAGGGAACTCTTGGATCAATCATTAAAACAAACTAGTCTTCGTGGAGGACTATCTGTTATTCGCATTTGCGTTACATGGAAAGTAAAGAATTAAAGCATCACACTGCTAGCACGCCATCAAGCCAATGATCTAACGCATGGCCAGCATCTTACCCATGATCTTACCCATGATCTGATAACCCATTCTAACCCATGATCTGATAACCCATTCTAACCCATGATCTGCTTACCACTATCTGCTGGAAGAAAAATATTTTACTTCAACATTAATGTTGATGAGAGCCAGGAACCGTCAATCAACTATCGCTGGGATTTCGACCTTTATTGATTCATTGGAAAGTGAGCACTCTATCTCGGAGCTTAAAGATACAAGGTATTCCATATTAAACACCTTTAATCTATAATTCTAAAACTCTTTATCATTAACAAGGAAGGAGAGATTGTAAAAATCATTGTTTGCAATCTCTCTCTTTTTTTTAATTTTTTTATTTACTTATTTTTTTATTTTTCAAAATAATCAGAATTAGAAAGTTTTTAAAGGGGTTTTAAATATTAACTTTGGACTTGTTAAAAAAAGGAAGAGAGGAAAAATTAGGAACTTTTTTTTCCTGTAAAAAAAGTGATGCATTCCGTCGGATATAATTTCAAGAATGATTCCGATTTTGTGAAAAACGATAATCTGGCTGATAGTACTACTGTCGGTGTCATAAATTCTTCAAACGATTTATCATTTAATACTAACAGTTTGAAAAATTTATTGCTCTTTTTTATCTTGCAATCTTGATCGTACAAGTAGTGGCGTCAAAAGTCAATTCTCGCCAAACTTAAGTTTTTTGCTACAAATTAAATAGTGGAAATATTGAATGAAATCCCGCCGTTTATTTAATTGAATTGACTTCTTCGAATGTTATGAAAAGGCTTATATTTTATAAAGCTTTCGTTATTAAAAGTTTTCAGTTCCTTTTGAGGAAAATTACTTTATCGCTTTAATTTTCTTTCTTTTTTTTAAGATTATATAATTACTTAATGTTAACCTATAATTAAATTTTCCGTTAAATTTTCTGGTGAAAATTAGATCTTAAAATTTAAACGTCATCATCACCTAACCATGGCCAAACCTCTAGCCCCATTTTTTGGGGGCTCTATCTTTAAACGACCATGGTAGGAATGCCATGCAATTTTGACCCTGGTCAGACGCGGTAGATAGTGCCTGAGCCGGTACCTCTTTCTAAATTTACCACATCACAACCAACACGAAGACTTTTAGCCACGCAGATTTAACAAGCACCTGACTGCCTATACGCGCTGATTTAAATCTATTTTTACATATAAAATGGCTTAAAAGATAAAGAAGTAATTTTTGTCGGTCATAAAGATCGAACTCAAAACCACCAACTCTCCATGTTAACGGTGTGAGAGACGCCTTAACCGACTGCGCCAACTGAGAGACTCAAAAATTTAATCAATATAACAATAATAACAACAAGCTAACAATCACAAATTACTAGCATGATAGCTGCACGAAACTTAATGTTTTAGTAGGTAGATGCATGCCTCTTTTGAAGCGTTTTTTAGAAAAATAAATGGAAATGAAAATTCGTTTCGTTTTTTTTTTTTTTTTTTTTNTTTTTTTTTTTTTTTTTTTTTTTTTTTTTTTTTTTTTTTTTTTTTTTTTTTTTTTTTTACGTGAAATTCCTTTAGTTCTCTAAATGGTTTAAAAAAATAAATGGAAATGAAAATTCGTTTCGTTGAAATTCGCTTAGTTTTCTAAATGGTTTAATTTATAATAATAATAATAATAATAAAACAAAATGAAAATTCAATGAGAAAGGCAATCATCACCCCAAAAGTCTTCCGAATAAAAATATGTGATAAAATTTCAATTTTAATTATTAAATATCGAGCTTTTTCACTCACCGCCTCTTAAGAGGATGCTATAGCGTGGAAGGGGGCTGGGCCAGCCTGGCTTGTAAGGCGTTGCACCCATGTCCGAATGGTCGTGAGTTTGATCCCCGCTGGCCTAAGACTCCTCGTGGTGACTGGTGCACGCTAAATCTGTCGAGGTCACAATGCCCTCCAAATTCCGAGGTACAAATCAAAACCTCTGGAGGTACTGGATTGGAGATTGATGGTACTCTGGTTCAGGTTACGATCTACGGCTGGATGGATAGTGTGTCCTCCCTGTATAATGGGGCGTGACTCATGTATGTCGTCTCTGGATCATCTTCAAACACATTTCCCTTACCGTCACCAATAACCCACTGTGCAGCTGTAAAGCGACGTAAATGAAAGTACCGTACCGCGTACTATGCCGTGGAAGAAGCACTGCATGACGTATACTCTTTCAATTTAATTTAAAATTACATGTAAGCATTTGCAATGGAATGTTTCTCCATCAGTATAGTGTCCTCTTAAACACAAAGGAAAGTCGGTAGTTTTCTATATTTTTGGGGGGTTTTAGGAATTGTTTTACATTTGGTAAACCATCTCTTTTTTTCTTCATTAATTCGCCTATAATTATATTTAAGGCTTGGGGGCTCAGGGGATAGAGCGTAAAAATTCCAATGAGGTAAACCGGGTTCGAACCCCAACGATGGCTGGTTTATACGAGTCCCGCACACGGCTCGCATCGACCACAGTGCTGACGTAACAATATCCTCAGTGGTAGATGGATCATGGGTTAGAGTCCCCTTGCCGTCAGGCTAACCGAGGGAGGTTTTCGTGGTTTTTATTCCTATGTATCGTAAATTCGGGTCAGTTCCATACAAAAAAGTGCACGAAGGCTAGTTTGTAACGTTGCTTAACTCAGGAGTTCCCTTGTCTTCTGGGTTGGATACAAAATTACAAGGCTATGGAGTTGAACATTGATAGTCGTGAACTCAAAATTGGGTCAGTGGTTCAACGATGGTTATATTATGATTACCTTTTTTTTTGTAGTGTTGACTCCGATGCCGAATGTAGAAGTTCGATTTTTCTTTGTGGTGAGATTTGAGAACAGAAGCGCTGAAGATGAAAATGCGCAAGCTGTAGTTGTACACCACCAACCCTATTGGCATGCTGGTGGCGGAGAAGGTGGGAGGTTTGTGGTTGCACCACCAGGTTGATTAAGACTTTTTACATCAGTCTGAAATTTCAATAAAAAAAAGTTGCATTTGATCTTCTTTCTGTAGTTCATTTAAACTTGTATTATCTTTCATTTATGATACCTCTTCAGAACCGTAAATAGGCAATGCCTCCTAGAAGAGAGAAGGCCTCAGCACGGATCAATTTAGTTGTCCGCCGTAACGAGCATAAACTGCGCAGTTGATGAAAAATAAGAAAGATGTCACTACGTTCGGACTACTAAGTTGTGCAGTGGGGGAAATACCAAAGATGTTAGTAAGTTTGGACTACTATAGGATCAATTTTCTGGTTTATGGTAACCCGTGCTGAGGCCTTCTCTCTTCTAGGAGGTATTGAACTAGGGGGATTGCGAAGTAGGTGATCACACAGAGTCACTAAAAACTAATTTAATTTGTAGATTCATTTAAGTTTAATAAATTTTAAAATCGGAGCGCAGAAGACAGGGGACTGATTGATTAAACTAGCCTGCATCTGTGTTACATAAGGAAAATAAGTCACCATAATGGCTGAAAAATTGCTCTACGCAATGGTATTTATCTACATTGAGAAAAAAAGTATCGTCTTAATTACCAGAATATGATAAAATTTACAGTCTGTTTGGCTCTATTGCAACACCAAAAAGCTCGGTAATGTTCACCAAAGCACTTTGGTTACGATTTTGGTAAGATTAACAATAAAATATGGTTGCAAATCTGTGATAAATGAATTATAGAAATAAATAAATAAATAATAGAAAAATTTGATAATTTCATTGTGATAGAACATATGACATAAAAAACCATTTATTCGACTAAATTTACCTCTCTGTTTTGTATTTTTACTAATTTGAGGGCATAGGAATTATAACTTCGAAAACCAGAATTTCCAGTAAACCATTACCATATGAATGGTGAAATTGCCAAATGAATGGTTTAAATACGATGTATTTTGGTTTTATTAACCAGATTTTTTTTTAAAACTTAGAAATGACATTATTAAACAGTACGGTAATTTTACCAATTTTTTTTCTCCGTTTAACTCATTACCCAGTCTGTATTATTTAAAACTGAAATAAAAACAAACTACGTTTAAAATCTTTAGTTTCTAATTATCAACCTATTATTTCATATTTTGCATCTGTTAAAAGTATTTTTTTCCGTAACATTTTGTCATTATATTTTGTCAAATAGTACGCGTTAATAATGATTTTAATAATGAATGCCAATGAGAAAATTGTTCTCAATTTCCGTTTTTTGAAATTAATTTCATTGATTTTTGAAAGAATCATTTAAATGCCTTTCTAGAATAATAAGAATTATTTAAAGTTTATTCAACAAACTTAAAAAACGGAGTTAGCCTCACTTTCACATTCATACAAGTCCTTCTTATCTTATTTTAAAATAAATATAGTTTGTCTGTGGAAAGAACTCCCCTCGCCATAAAGTCTAAGGCTATCTACTGCTATCGAAGCAGAAATAGTGCAAAGATTTGAGTCTCTCGCTCTCCTGATTCCTTTTCTCTCGCCAACCAGAGCCATATAATATTAATATTGCCCTACAACCCAACATGAAATAGTTAAGCCTCTTAACCATAATCATCACCACTGTTCCAAGCAAATGAAGAGAGGATTCCTTTCCATAGACAAACTATACTACTCCAGCTTATTTTCACAGCTAAACAATGGGCACCACACGATAAACTACGCTCAATAAACTTTAAGGCTATGCATCACAAAATCAATAAAATGATTTTGGCCCACTAATCAAACAAGGTATTTATATGAATACATTATCATTATTTTAAAATAATAATTACTATTTTTTAATTATTATTTGTTCTCTATTTAAAAATATTTTAAATTGTTTACACTCTTTTTTACTATTAATTTCTAATGGTTAACATTCTAGTTTACAAAAAAAACAACAACAACAAAATCTACTCACTTTTTAGGTAAACTATAATGAATATATGATTATAGAAAGGGGAGGTGGGCCTAAAAATAATAGTAAAAGAACAGGATATTATCATACTAGAATCCCGCTAGTTCTAAAGAAATGTATTTAAAAAATAACACCGTATTTTTCCACTGTTATTTCCTTGCAAAACTATGAAAGAAATGAGTTTACAAAAGAAATCATATCATGTTTAATCGTGTTTAAGAAATAGGTTTACGAAGAAAAATGTGATTTCAAACATTAACCAAGTAAACTTGTTCAAGAAATAAGTTTAAAAAAAGTAACTAAATTATTTTTATGTTGAGTCCAATCCAGATATTCGTTTTTTTCCAACCCCTTTTTTTAGTTACTTATTTTTATTTATTTTTAACCTTTTTATCAGTCTTAATCTGAAAATATTTAAAAATGTCCATCAGCAAATGATGTTTATTTTAATACGGCTTAGTCATTAAACTTCATTTCAAGTTCTTAATTCATAAACTTTCTATTCATATATAAATAATTTAAAACGGTTAATGAATAAATTTATTTTTCTCACTGCAAAACAAATTATTTTTGATGTTCTTATCTGCAAACAAAAAATAAAGAAAGATAGATTGTTAAAAAAAATGTGTTTAGAAAAACACCATATTCCCAAACAATGTAACAGAACATACTGTCATCTCTGGGTTCTCGCTTATAAAAAAAAGTATCTTTTTTTTATTATTATTTTTTAATATATTTAACTCTTCTAACTCTTTTTATCAGTCCGCAAACACTATGCTTTTCTTTTATTTATTTTCTCCAATCTCCTCTTGCGCAATATATGTCTGGGCCGCTACACTTTTTCCTTTAGAACATTTTTCCCACAATTTTCTTTTATTTATTTTCTCAGACATTTGTCCTTCGTTGATTGGGAACCGTCTTCAGCAGGTCATCGTCCCTTGCGGCCTTCTTGTCACACGTGCGACGTCACAGAAATATCGTGACGTCACATCACAAACTCACTTTAACTCATGGAAAGTGAGGTACTGTAACAAATGAAGTTTTACGTATTAATTACTTTTTTTAATAGGACATGGCCAACATTTCGATTACAATTGGAGCAAAGTTTCTTAGACGTGCTATAGGATATAGCCATGTGAAAATACTTACATCTTTATACTCTAGAGCAGGGGTCCCCAACCTTTCTGTACCTAAGAGCAAATACCAGAATATCGGTCGAATGGCGGGCACCATTTATTTTTTCAAGATAAATGTATAGTTGGTTGGTAGACATAGGTAATAATACACACTACATATAGTGCACAAAAAATTTTACTTTAAAAATTAATTTAACATATGAATATAATTAGTATTAATATTCTTGTGTAAAATAAATGATTACTAAATTGCTTTCAAAACATACGAAGTATAAAAATTATTTATAAAATACAGTCAATGTGGTGTTTGGCATGACATTTCGCTGGCCAGCGCTATATAATTGGGAGAATATGATGCTCTTTTTAAGAATGGAATTTATTCCTTCAAGTATATTCCAGAATTTCTCATGTGATATAATAGTTTTGAGGATAATGTCATTCTGAAGATCCACAATTTCTATCTCCAATTCTTCTCGCTTTACTTGAAGAAACTCTGAAATGTATGTTGCTATTACGGTTTATTTGGTTGGTAAAAGGATTAACAAAAAAGTTATTAAAGGCTCGATGATATTAAATTGTTGAAAGCGCTTTTTAAATTGATCTTGAAGCAATTGGAGGTTGATGACAAATGTTAATAAGCCAATTTCACTGTCACCTATCATTTTTTTCATGTTTGGAAAATGCACAAGACACTTCATTTTCAAATGTGATATTCACAAAACTAGCTTAGCTCTGAACGAATTTATAGCCTCTATCATTTTTGCTTTATGTTTGTCCTTTCCCTGCAGCTCCAAGTTCAAATTATTTAGTTTTTTCATTATGTCCGTTATGAAAGACAAATCTGCTAGTCAAAGAGGATCTCTTAGTTCTAAAAATGTTTGATTTTTGGCTACAAGGTAATTTTTTATTTCTCTAATTAAATGTAGAAATCTATCAAGTACTTTACCTTTACTGAGCCAGCGTACCTCAGTATGTATCTGCATAGCATAAAATTTGCATAGCATTTATTGCGAAAATGGAAAACTGAAATATTTTATCGCTGGGTACAAGCAGCGGGCGCACCTAGATCGATCGACGGGCGCCATGGTGCCCGCGGGCATAGGGTTGGGGACCCCTGCTCTAGAGAGAGCGTAAAATAAAAATAAATTAATTAATGAAAGAAAGATATTTGCAGGGATTAAATAAACGACTCAGATGAACAAAGATTTTCATTCTTTAAAAGACTTCGTTAGTTTTTATTTATTTATTTATTTTTACAATGTTTTGTTTCATTATAATAACTTCCATCGTTTATTTTTTTATATTGAATAACTAAATGATATAAAAAATTGCTTAGATAAAATTTATTTTTCTTTTAAATAGAGAAGAAAAATAAAAAACTCAAAACATGGTATAAATTATCCGAGCGATATTTTTCCGATCAATATTTTTTTCATTGTTTTTACGTTTATTTAACCTTCTATTTTTTTCAATTCGAAAAATACATATTCCGGTAATATTTAATAAAACTAAAAAATACTAATTTTATATTTTTTAATCTAGCAAAATTATTTCTTAAATTTGGGAACAAATGGTAAGATGGTAAAAATGGACCTTCAGAATTAAAACTCTTAATAGTTTCTTCTTCTGATTTTGTTTTTATACTTTATGTACAGTGCGCAGAAAAAAAGAATAATAATAACAGTAACATTCTAAATAACTTTTGATAGAAAGATCGGATTTCTCCGTACTATGACTCAATCTTAACGGTACAAGAGGGTCACCTCAAATATGGTAATAAGTTAGTGTATACGATATTTTAAGTTACGAAATCAGACACAAAAACGTACTTTCTAAAAACATACCCTTTTTTCTCCGGATTATGTTTCCTGACCCCAAAAATATAAGCACATCCGCAACTTCCCACGGTTATCCGGACGCAAAGGTACTCTAACCCATGATTCGTCTACCACTGAGAATATTTTAC